TTGAGCTGGATCTCGTGGATAAGCTCGCCATGGAAGTCTATCTCGACGCAAGCGTGCAACAGATATCCTCACTCGAGTGGTCGTGGCTGCATCAACCTCAATCGGGTTGCCCATGTTGCTGACAATCGAAAAGAGAAAAAAAGGTCATAAAAATAAGAAAGAAGACATGGGGGCGACACCAGACTGGGGCGAGGGGTGCCTTGGATGGAGGAAGAGAATTCACGGGTGTATCTAAACACCCGACCAATGCTACCCTGAGAAGCTCTGACGAGCGAGGTCGCGGTGCCGTTTGCCGGCAGGTTGAGTCTGGCTGAAAAATGAGCCTAGGGCCAAGATCTCCGATTGTCAAAATTTGATTTCCAGTGGCCTGGTGGTTGGCGGCGGAGTGGTGAAAATCCTTCTCTTGTGGATTCCTGACGTAGATTCCATATATGTAAATGCCGATTTTTATTATAATTAATTGCAAAAATAAAAATACCACCTTTTTAAAATTCACAAATCCAAAACTTAGATTTTCAAGTTCGTTTTACTCTATAATGTGAATCGCTTTTTAGTTCAAATTGTCTACTAAATTTGAGCACAACTTGAGTACTAAAATCGGAATAGGACCACCTAACTTTGCAATATTGAGGATGGAATCCACTTAGCAGACCTCAAATTATGAAGTTCAACGCAAACAGCTCACATGATCGATTACACGTGTTTATATACTATGATTTATCACACGTGATCGAGCACCACTTGAGTTCTAAATACTATGATTTCACGGGTTTAAAAAGTGAGGGAAAATAATTAAATAATAACCGATTTTAAAATAATAAAATAATAGCCGATTTTAAATTTTAATTCCTGAGTTTGAGGCTAGAACGGGAATTATATAATTTTGACTGTCGTATATCGTTTTACCCTTAGAAGTCTAAAATATACGCCCAGTCAAATATTGATCGGAGTTACTCTCTTTTTCTTTCTTTGCTATTTTTGTTTGTGTGTGTGTGTTTTGTCAAGCATGTCGTTTTAGGCTTTTACAACAATTTTTCATTTGGCGTCATCTTTTAAATATTTTAAACGTGTCAAAAAGACAAGGATCATGGTCCATGGCGACTAGCCTGCTTCCCTAAAAGAATACATGTGTATTGTTTTAAAACTTAAAAAGCTATGTATAATCTAACTCCATTGAACACGTGCTTGTATACAAATAAATCTGCTCAACGAACGAATCATCGAGCCACTTCTTTTCCGAGTGTCCCTTTAGCTTGGAGATATAGAGTGCAATTCGAGTTTGGGTTAGCCTCCGTCACATGCCAACCAATCTAAAAGGTGCCCTCAAATGGACCAGAAAAGAAGGGAAATATACGACTTGGAGAACCAAATTGAAGAAAGCGGCGCTTGCGGCCAGCGTCTACTTCATTTGGAATGCGCGAAACCGATTGACTTTTGTGGGCGAAACCCAACCTCAAAGCCTTGTGATTAGAAAGGTAAAGACGCACGTCTACCGATCTATTTTTGCTCTTTTTCCGAGTGTTCTTGCCGAATTTGAGAGAAGAAACCTAGGCGTTGAAGTATAAAAATTTTGATAATTTTTGGGGATGGTTGATGTCAAGTGCTTGAGCACTTGGAAGATCTTGGTTGGAGGAGAATATTGTCCTTGTTATTTTTGTTCTTGCGAGTGAGAAACCGACTTGTGGTTACCCACTACGCTCTTGAAAGTCGCCTTGATTGTATGACATTTAATTTTGATCAATACAAATTTATTTAACGATAAAAAAAAAGAAAAAAAAATCTGCTTAAAATGAGTTGTTTCAATTAACTTGAGTTAATTTTGAAAAAAGTTGAATGGTTGGTTGTAAGTGAGATTTTAATTTATATTAAAATAATATATAAACTAAAATAATTAAAGTTAATTTGAAGTAAAGTATGAGAGAAATGATATGAAATGATAGTTAGTTAAAATTTTGTGAGTAGATAAATAGTGAACTAAAGTTAATGTGATGTCTTAGAATGATTGATATGTATTGTTTAATTATATTGATAATATTGGAGATAGTGTAGTTGAGTTAAATTTTAAGTATGAATTAAATGTGAATGAATTATTTTGTAATTAAACATGCTCTACCTATTACGTATCAATACAAGAATATGTGTAATGCAATTAAAAGCCACATATTATAAGTATACAATTACCTATTTCATATTTTTTATAGAGTTATTTATTGTTTATTTCTATAAAGTACCAAAATTTTTCAGTGTGAAAGTTCAAACTCAAGGCCCTTTGTTAGGGTCCAAATGTTTGAATCTCCAATATTCTTATCTTTGAATATTGATAATTTGATACATAAACAATGCACGTACTATTGGGTTGAAAAAATGCATGTGTTTTCCATATGTATTATTACATTTTTATATGTTTAATTCTATTATATTTGTCGATATATTTTTCGATTTATTTATTATTTTGATAATTTTAAATGCTATGATGTTTTTAATTAATATTATTTTGATGATTTTAAATGCTATGATGTTTTTATTATTAATTTTAGGATATTGGGGGTACTACTATGGACCATGAAGTATTGAACGATTCAAGCTATGCAATATTAGATAACCCAATACAGGCTAATTAATGCCCAAATCATTTATATTATAGTGATTTCGTAAATATATAATATAAAATATTTATGATTATATTATAGTGATTTTGTAAATATAATATAAAATATTTATGATAGTATGAGGTGTTTTCAGGCTGACGGGCCGAATATTATTATTTGCCACCCGAATGGGCCGAATCAATGTTAGTGTTAATTCTCGAGAAATTTGCACCATACACGTTAAATATAATTTTTTATTACATTAATAAAACTAAGTAATAAATAATTGCAATTCAACCAATTCAACACTTTTTATTTACAAAACTACCAATGTCAATAAAACTTATGACCTTCCCAAAATCTAATCATGATACTCTCTCTCTCTCTCTCTCTCTCTCTCTCTCTCTCTCTCTCTCTCTCTCTCTCTCTCTCTTCTTCTTCTTCTCTCTCTTTCCCTCTCTTCTTCTTCTTCTACAAATTCACGCTTAAGATTTTTTTCTCCTCCTACAGTTGAAATTTTTATTTGTTATTTTTTCTTTATCGATTGAATACGGGCGACCCGGTCGGCGGATCGATGGAGTGGCAGACCCGTCGAGAGTAAGGCGACCCCAAACCTCAATTGGGCACCACGAAATCGAGGAGGCGCGCTGTCCCTCCAACGATCGGAGATAGCGGTTCGCCGACGCTAGTCCTCCAATTAAGCTTGGGGAAGGCGGCCCCAATTAGCCGACAACAAGGTTGAGAGTGTCAGGCTTTATCCGAGTGGCGACGAAGATGAACTCCGCCCTGGTAATGCCCATGATCTATGCGGCGGTTGCTACCGATGATGCTCTGCGAGGATATGGCCATTGATGGCGTGCTTACAGGGACGATGAATAAAAAGGAGAGATTTTTTTTTTTTGCAGTATATGTTGCGTATATAGACTGTATATGTTCAGTATATATTTCCGTCGGCGTGCTTCTCATTTGGCCCATACTTAATTTTTTTATTATATATTGACTACAACCACAATATATAGAATTGTATATATTTTGTATATAATGACAAGATTGATTTATCTCGTGTTTTTGTATTCATGTCCTCCGTATATAATGTGTATATTTTTTGTATACAAGTCTAATATTGTATGTTGCATGTATTAAACCATAAAATATACTATAAATATACCGAAAATACACGAGATGTAAATAACACAAAAAAGGATTACGAAGAGATAAAATTACCTGGTTTATTTTATATATTTTCTGGACTTATATATTGTCTGTATATTTTCTGTATATTGTATATATTTGAAATTCAAAAGCTGTATATTTCCTAATTCCACTCAACCACCTTCCTTATTTTCAGGATTTAATTACTTTCCATGTTGGTTTTTATCTCTTTTATTTTAATGTGAAAAACGGTCCCATTATCAATGATAAGTTTCAACTTTTCACATATGGTAACTGAATCTTGACATATATACAATTATTTTAACCAGATTTTTTAGGAATGCAATATTATAACAACTTATGGTATTTTTGCAAATCTTTTAATTCTCGGCAACCCCGAACAGTTAAAAAGTAGTGGATCTCAGGAGGCGCCCAAGCGAGCACCCAAATGGGCAATGTTGAGTGAATTCTTTGGCAACCCAAATTGCTGAAGTTTATGCGAAAGCCCAAAATGCAATAAGAATCCCCGTACAACGGGTGTAGCTGCACCTTGCACTCAAACGGTTGCACAGCCATAGCCATTTCCTTACAGCCGTTCATCTAATAAAAAGTGATATCTCCACCGTAGGTTCAATCATCGCCAATACATGCCAATTTTAGGTTTTAAAGATTGCCGTATGCTGCTGCTTCCTGTCCCTCCAACAGTTACCGGGTCGATCCCTCCTCCTCCTCCTCCTCTCTGGAATTTTGAGGATTTGAGGGAAGAGAAAGAAGAGATTTATTTGTAACTATGGCGTCGCCGGAAGCTCCCCTTCGCTACGTCGGTGTTGACCGGAGCTCCGCCGCGTTCCGGCTAATGAAACAAATGGTAATACTTCTCTCCTGAGCATTGTTTGTTTTCGGTTCAATTAAGCATTTAGAATCGGGATTTAATATACCTTGAATTGATTTGTGCTCAAGCTGTCTTATAATTTAGGGGTTAACGCATAACCTCAGTGTGTAACAACAGACAAATTATAATTTAATGCGATGAATGTGGTTCTGCTCCTAAGCTTTCTGCTTTTGAGCGTACGTTATAGTGATAGAAATTTGTCTACAATCTACATCGTATATGCTAGTGATACGTGATCACCATACTGTGGTTGAAGTTGTTATTAGTAACATTGATGCACTGAGATGATTTCATTCCAGGATTTGAATTTGAGTCCCTATTATCTGCTTAATTATATGAGCTGATGCATTCCTGCCAATGGTATTTGTAGTTTCATTATATGTAGAAGTTTGCCTTGCATGGATTTGCTATTTTGAAGCAATTCATTTATGAGGAATTTAGAAATGTACCAGAACCAGTCATCTATTTGGTTTGAGTGGGAAGAAAAGCTCATGTTTTTCGAACATGAAAAAGTGGACATTTGTCCTCTGTAGTGTTTTTAATTTTGCAAGCACTCCCAATGACTCTTGTTACCCAATGTAATGCTTGTTCAGGGATGGGAAGAAGGAGAAGGGCTTGGAAGAGAAAAACAAGGTATCAAAGGATATCTCAGGGTGAAGAACAAGCAGGATACTTTAGGTATAGGAACAGAGAAGCCAAATGCATGGGCATTTGATACCTCTCAATTTGATAGCATTCTCAAGAAACTTAAAGTGGTAAAGTTATCCCTAATCATTAACTTGTACACTCCACATCTTCTTCTCACGGACCTCACCTTTATGTTCTCTTAATTTGATGATCTGGCAGCAAGCTGTTGACATCAGCGTCAAGAAAGGTACACTATACATACATATGAACGGGCATTTCACTTGGTATTTAGGCCTCCATAATGGTAGTATGTGCATTGTTCACTTGTTGACATCCGTTTTTTTTTCCCTTCATGTATCAGCTGACGAAAAAGATGGACATAAAGAAGATGCAGAACTCAGTGCTTCTAAGGATAATAAAGATACAGGTGCGAAGGTTACTCGACCACAAGGAAGGTCAGTCTATTACGAGTACCTGTGCTCTTCTATTTTTCAAACCATATGAAGGTATATTTTTCGTGATTCAAGAGTTTCTGAAATTCAATATTATAAGTCCAGATATACGAAAAGGGAGAAGGGGAAGCGAGTAAATGCATATTCATCCAAAGATCTTGAAGGAATCCTTGTAAGTGATGCATCTATATTTTATTAGCTTATTGTCATTTGGATAGGATTAGGTTATGTTGCTGAGCATAACATTCCACAGATTTAAAGTTTTTATTATCTTATGGAACCCGAGTTTGTAGATATACTTGTTTAGCCTTGGAACATTTTAAATGTCATGATATAAAACTCAACAGCAGCTAAAGGTTCACATGTATTATCTCGCCGTGCTCTATCTGGTTTTTGTGTCAAGTGTTTTCACCTGATTATATTTAATGAATGTACCTCCTAAACTCTGTAATAAGTTTATGTCTTGCTTATATTATCAAGAAGAAGCCTGGTCGCTTGTGATCAATTTAGAGAAATAGCTTTACCCCTTACTCATCTCGTTAATTCACTTGGGATGATGTCTGCAGGTAAATAGGACCAAGTCTCCTGAGGTTAATACTGCTGAGGAAGCATCAAATGAAGAAAAGTTAATTGAAATCCTTGTACCTGACGTGGAAGGTAATTCCCATACGTTTGGATAAGTTAATAACCTAAAATCTGTGTTGTCTTTCTCATGTGTGATATCTCTATGCAACACCGCTTTTGATGTTTCTTTCCATGGATATTGGTTGCATAAAAAGCCTCACCCAAGTTACTTCTGTTTGTGTTGGATGAAATTTGTAAACAATGGAACACCTGGAAGTTTGTGTGTGCTTTTCTTGATATGCGTTTATTTATGCCATTCTCTTCGCAATAGTTATTTACGAGTTCCTTGTTTTATTTTCTGGATTCCAATTATATAAACCTGCTCACGCAATTGTGGTAATAACAAACTGGATCTAGTACCAGAATCTGGCGTTCCTTTAGTGTCCTTTGCTCGAGCGTTCAGTTTATTATGTTTGTAATTTTGGCTCATTTTGTCACTGTTTCCAAAAAGTAACAGCTAACTGAACATAGATGTTATTGTGCTCAGATGCATTTGGTGATAGTGTATCCAGAAGACACTTGTTCAATTCCTTTTAATGTTAGGTCGTTCTGAATACATTATCAGTCATACATGTTTGTTATTGGCTTATGAATACATTTGGTGATAGTGTATCCAGAAGACACTTGTTCAATTCCTTTTAATGTTAGGTCGTTCTGAATACATTATCAGTCATACATGTTTGTTATTGGCTTATGATCCATCACTTTGTTGTGATTTGGAGCAATGGTAACCTTCTCTTTCTTCTTATGGGACCGCTTTGTCTTCTCAATGCTGTTATATTGTCTGTCACTGATGATAGCTGATAGCTCATAACTATCTGAAAGCTGTGTGTGTCATGTTTCCGCATGTTGATAGCATAGTTTAAAATGGCGACGCCATGGCGACGCCTCGAGGCGAGGCGACCGAGGCAAGGGCCACTTCGCCTCGCCACTGCCTGAGGCGACCCTGTTCGTGAGGCGCTCGCTTCAGGTTGCCTCGGCTCGCCTTTTCGCGTGGCGAGAGGCGCCTGTGAGGCGTGCCTCGGCGCCTTTCAGAGGAATTAAAGCGGCAGCCCATAAAAAAAAAAAGAAAAGAAAAAAAGCGACACTTTTTGGAAAAAGAATAAAATTAAAACAGATCGAAAGCAAAACTACTTCAGTGAAAAATCTCTAAATAGCTTCTCCCCAAACTAGGACTTCTACGAAAGAACTCCCTAGGCTTCTCGGATTTGAAAATTGCATAAACCCATGGCCTACTCATCCTATTTCCGACCTCCTCTGAACTCCGGCCACCATCTCGCACCGCCAAGACGATCAGTGATGCATGCCTTTTCTTTTCTTTTCCTTTTTCCTTTCTCTTTTTCCTGTTCCCGTTTTTGCCGTCTCTTTTTCTTCTCTCTTCACTTTTTACTATATTTATGTTTACTAGTATGATCAATAGTCCAAGGTGAAAGGGTGCAGCATCTTTTCTTTTATTTACTTTTATTTTACACTTTTTATTTGCCTTCTTTAACTTTTTTCTATTTTATGTTTACTACACAGTGTAAAATTCAATATTTTTGCTTTGTAATGTTACTAGTATTCATATTTAAGTTTTAGATGCTTTTAGTAATTACAACTAAATTTAATATATATTTTCTATTTTAGAATATTTAAGGTTATTGTTGGTACTTGAACTTAAATGTGTGTGTGTGTGTATATATATATTATATATTTATATATATAGTGTTGCCGAGGCCTCGCCATGGCGATTCGCCTCGTCTCGTGGCGAGGCAATGGGACAATTGCCTCGCCTCGCCTCGCCTCGCCATTCGCCATTTAAAACTATGATTGATAGTTTCTTTATAATTTTCCTGTTGTTTGCCATGCTTTGGTAATATTAACTTATTGCGTTGCAGAAATAGTTCAAGAAGTTCCACAAGATTGGTGGGGGCACAAATTTGGGTTTGTTACTGGAGGTTTGCTTGGTGCTGAATCTCGAAGAAAAAAGTCCCACGACAGGACAACATTCAATGAAGATGATCAAGAAAATCTTTACAAACTTGTTCAGGTAATATTTGTGTTGTTTTGAACATGGCCCATAGGTGTGAAAACAAGGTTCCACCTAATTTTTTAGACAAGGAAATGGATTGCATGGCAGTTATCCTTCCACAGTTTCACCATCTTTTCATTTTATCTCCATAAATTCTGAGACTAAAGATTTAATGGTGACTCTCCCCCTATTTCATACTGGAATTGAATTATAAGCAAAACTCTCTCTCTCTCTCTCTCTCTCT